AACCAACAGAATGTGTAAGGTTATTTTTCTTGTTAGCCTGAAAATTTGACTCAGATGAAGTGGGGGAAAAACCTGCCACTGGAATAAAACAATTTCACTTTATAAGATTCTTGAAACCACTTAATTTGACTCAAATTTTTCTTATTTCGAGAAACTTACCAAGTGCAATTTTCTTACTCCATTGGCAGATTTTTTCAGCTAATCTGAGTCAAATTTCCAGACTAACGATAAATAAACTTACATGTTCTACAAGATTATTAATATCACACATTATGTTCTTGTTTAGTAAATCCGTTTCAAAACGAGATCAAATATTTTTTGGTTTTAAAACTTTGTTAGTTGGACAGTTTTTGCAGTGTATCATGATTCATTCAACAGGTGCATTATCTGAATCTGGAATCAATCCAATTCAAGACAGTTAATTGACCATATTYATCATGTAAACATATTTAACATATTAATCTAACTCAAGTTCACAGCTCATCAGCTGCTGTGGTAGTTTGCTGAGAGTCATCACTTACTCTAAACTCTACACAATGCACAACATTTTTGCTTGATGCTTTAGCATTACCTGTTAAAATCAACACTTTTATTCAAATATCTCACACATCACTGGCCATATTTTTGTCAGTAAGTCACTGGATGCACCTAATTAACTTCTGGAGTCATTACAGCCAAAGATGGCTGGCACAGATAATCAATCTTAGTCAACAYAAAAATCATGATTGCTCAAATTGACGAGATCTGAAACAGCTATAAAACTCCGCCCCTTCATCTCATCATAAGATTATTTTATTTTCAAACTCTGGCTTGAAAGGCAGAAGATGATATGCATTCTTTAAGGAATGCTAGACCTTTAAGTTAGGTCAAAACAAATAGGATTTTGTTTAAACCCACACATCCTTGTAAACTGAGGACTTTGTATTGACGTCCATTCATTTTTGTAACTGCATTTATGCCTAACCCAGGTATTTTCCTTAGTATATAACTAACCCTAACCTTAACCAAAACTTAATTCACACCGTAGCTCTGAACCTAACTAGTAGAGAGTGGCAGAGCTGAAAAAATTGTGAGGACCGGGGAAATGTCCTCACTTAGTTAGTTAAAAACATATGGTTCTCACTCTGTAGCAGAAACAAGTATACACACATGAAAGCAACAGATTTATTCAAGTGTGTGAAGATGATATTCATCCATAGCTGGTGTAAACAAACAAACAAACAAACATACAGATCATACAAATAAATAAGAGGATATACAAAATAGATCTCTTAAACACGAGTCCTTCTGACTCAGTGAGACTATCTGTRTGAATAAAGGTTAAACAAAAACATAAAAAACACACAATTTGTAACTTAAGTTCCTAAAAGTCTTTGTTAGTGTAGGAAGAAAAACACTAAAGAACATTGTTTATGTTTATTGTTGAAGTTTAAATGAAATCAGGTAATTTTTAATTCTGCATTTTTTTTCTRTCATTGGACACTTCAGAGGTTAAAATACAAAAACCCTAGGAAGATATTAGACTTGAGATAAAAACAGTGTTGTATCTTGATCCAGTAGGTGGCAGAAAAGTCTACAAATTGAGAAGATATCATTGCCAGAAATAAAATAAAATAAAATAAAATAAAAACTGTTCATATGATTCATTGT